GATAGTGCTGCACCAACCATTTCATAAATAAGTTCCGCTTCTTTTGAACTTGGTACAGATAATATTTTAACGAAAGCCCCGACATCATATCTTCTAACCTTTAGTTCTTGCATCACTATCTCTCTCTCTTTACTATTTTTTTGGCATTCCATCAGCAAATGTTGGACGTCATCAACTTTATTACACACTTGGCAATTAGGTGAATCGACTTTTTTCATTAAGTGTCCAAACTTCTTGGATGGAAAATGACCAGAACGCAATCTATGTGCCATGACAACATATGCCCTCTTTGTGCGACAATCAGCAAACCATGGGATTCGGGGAGGCTCACTTTGTAAAGGTCGTGTTGTGACTTGTGCATTGTGTTGCTAATGATCAAATACTCAAAACAACTGCCCTACTTTCAAGTTGTCTCAAAACACATTCGTCACAAAATATTAAGCGATGTACACTAGCTACGAATTTAACATTAGTAATGACAATTTCGGTAATTGAATTGGCTTTATGCGAATATGACCTTTGCCCGAGGGTCGGCTGTTTCACAAGCCTTATAATGACGTCAAGTTGGTCCTTTACTTATTTACTAAAACCTCCACAATTTGCTTAGTTGCTCCGGCTAAGTAATTAATGGGCGGGACATTAATTAAATTTCCCATTTTGTGGTACGTGCCGCCAATTTTTGTTTATTTTCATGTCCATTACAAAATTTGAAAATCTTGGAATAATTTGCATAAGTTTCTGATTTTAATGAATCTGCTACCTGAACTATAACTAATCAAGCGATATGAATCGAATTTTACGTTTTCATAAATGTACAGTTATTTTAATTGAACCTCCACGACAAATGAACACTTTAAATGAAATATACAACAGAAAATTCCATAAATACTTATTGTCGTGATTAGACAATTACATCTCCTGCTACTAGGGACGGTAACAAGGCAGTACAAACTAGATACTTTATAAATACAATCAATGAGTAGACTTTGTAGGAAATCCGCAAACAACGGATTATTCGAATGATTCAAGGAGAGATGACCGGATAAACGCTACTTAGAACGCGACAAAAAGGAGGCTGAATGATGGAAAGTAGTTTTTTTTTTGCTAACAAAACAAGGAAGCAACGGATTTATTCAGTCATCCAACGCTAGCTTGTCACAGTCAAGTAGACGTCCTACATTTGAACACCGTTATCATTCACTTTCCCTAACAAGACTCGGATCAAACAATGTGTGGAGTTGTGGACCCGACTATAAAGAGTATAAAGTTTACAACTTCATTGTGTGGGACTCGTGTTCTTATGAATTGTCGCCTATTGTTGCTGGGACAGGGAACGCTTTTTACATGCATATTATGTTCTGTTATAGCTTATTGCGCAACTGTGCCTGGGTTTCCTTGAATGTTTGTTTCTATTTTTTTGCTCTTGATTCAATATTGAAGATGTTATAGTGATAGTTTTTACGACAATAGAAAGTTTATAGTTTCATTTTTAACTGAACTTGACAAGTTTCATTATATTCTTGTTGTGTATAGTAAAAACCATAATATTGAAAATGTATTCGAATGGCTTGATGAAATTGAAGAGAGAAATGATACCATCAGAGCATTAGAAGTTGAAAAAAACGACATAAGGTTTAATGCGGCACCAACTTGAATGTAGAAGAGCTCATTGCTAATTCATAACTTATGACAAAGTTAAAAATAAACCATTCACTATAATATGACAACAATGTCCGGAAGAAGGCCGGTGTACAGAGAGTGTGAATTAAAAATAAACGGTCGTTGCAAGCCTTGACGTAACCCGCGATGAACTGCATAACATGAATCGTAATACGATCCGGTGAGTACATTCGTCACGCACACATACACGAGCAATTATCTTGTTAACAACGGGTCGCGTAAGTTTTGAACTTACGTCATTTATAGTAATTAAACGCAGGTGGCGCTGTCGAGCGAATTGGTCGTTTGAAGTGGACACAATGCGAACTGATTCACGCTGTACTTTTGTAGTTGCAATCTTTTTAAACAGTTTCTGATGTCTCTCTGTAAATCATTCAGGTTATTAGACATGTTTAGCAGTTGAATCATCTCAAGTAATTATGAAGATTACACAGAGACGAAATAATACCTAGTTATGTGCAGATACTAAAACAATAAACTTTGACATAAAAAAATTAAATACTTCAGCATAAATAAGTAGAATTAAAAAAGCCGTACGTCTTTCTTAATTAAAAAATTTACCCAGTGCACGAACTTAGCGACTCAATATTGAAATTAATTTGAGTATAAACACACTGTTAAGAATAAATTGTAGCTAATGAGATTACAAGTAACAGTGAGCTATCGTGCCAGTTCACACGATTGTTGCGTGTGACACCTCGCGAGATGCAGCACGATTGCCATAATGAAAACCTCGCCTTCCAAGTATTGGTGTACCGTGTAATGGACAACTCATTTTGCTACCGAATACCTTCACACGAATAGTCTTACAAAGAATTAAAGTTTGTCCATTTAAACTGTCAAGCACCGAGCGGTCACCGGTGACCGCAACCTATTGTTCTTTAATTGTGTCTATAAATACGGTACTCGACGAGTTAAATAACTAATCCCAGCTTAGTTTTCAATTTGCAGGATTACCTTTCAATAATCAATTGTAAATCCTTGAAATACCTAGCCAATTTAAAATTCTAAAGTCAGTCTCTGCTTCCGTTTATTGCCAGACATACTGACAACATAACACAACTGACAAAGTGGGTGTCCTCCACGTATTCTTTCATAGAACATCTATAGCTACACTACATGCTAAATAGACAGAGTTCAAAGCGGCTTTGAATCAATCGTGTCGAGCCGAGAGGGCCCGAGTTCTGCAAATGGACGTCTTCCGGCTTCAGTGATTTGTAGTGTAATCTCTACTGGGATGCTTTTGTCCTATATTATAACCCTAGATAACAACTGTTGATATTTCTGCTTTAGAAAAGTAATTCTGCTCATAAAATCTTATATTTATTTTAAAATAGGATGGAAAAATATTGGAACCTCGTTCCTTTCCGAGTGTATGGTAGTTTCGCGCACCTGCTACCAGTTGTTAACCTGTTCGTCACGAAATACACCGGAAGAGATAAAATCTGTCGCACTTCGCAGCCACCTGCACCATCCCGAACATATTTAACAACTTTGTTAAAGTTTTCCGTACATTAGTATCTTTATTATCATCCTTGTCTCGTTGCTCTAATAGTATTTACTGCGAAACTTTGTTTGCATGCTCGCGAAATGTGGTATACAGTGGTTCTCGATTCTGAAATTATGCGATTTACATCTAGCATTCCCACAAAAGTCTTTACTAGTAATGGTGGACCGTTATTATGTTGACATGAGTTAGCTGCTATACGACCTAGTTATTGTAAAAAACTTTTGAAATCATTGTAGCCACTGAATACACGTTTGTGCTCACCGATCCCACAGTCAGTGGGCACGGCTGAAACTGAATAGAGCTTCAATGAAGGTCATGCAATCATTGTCAGACGTTTTTCTGCTTTTAACACATTTTATCATTTCAAAATTTGAAATCGCATAAAACCGACCTAGCAATCAGAATATAGAAATATTTACGGGCGCTTAAAAAATTGAAGCGTAACCTAATTTTTCTGGGGAGGCGTGGTCGCACAGAATTGATTCATAGACCTATAGACCGTGAAGTTATCTGTGGAATTGTATCTGAAAATAAAACATGATATATTATTGGCTACGTATCCTAACGCGATATTAACAACATGCTTGTTTACGCCCTGTAAGGAGTGGTCCAAGGTTTTGTTGATTAACTTGTCTTTGCTTTGTCATTGTTATTAATATCATGTAATAACCGCGTCTCATAATCCAGACAAATCAACAATTCATAGAAACTCATCAATATTGTAATCAAACCAGAGGTTTAATATGGGGACTTGTTCATGTTAGACTGTTGCAGTTGTCGCGGAGAACCTAACGGGTTACCGGGGGCTCCGGCTCGACGTGCGGGAGAAGGAACGGGGCGGTTTTTAGTAAGAGTCTGACACTCCCTCCCGCCTCACCCAGGCGGGAGCAGTGATTCGATTATTTTCCCCTCTAAAAAAAAAGACTTGCAGTTGTGACTGCATCTGTGTGAAGCATCCATGAGGACTAGTATCACAAACGAATTTCTAGAACGTCGCTCCTAAGGCTGCATAATAACACTAATGACCTAGTTATTTAAAGTAGTTCGTATTATATGTTAGTATCCTTTGTGAAAGCGGGCGAGCGCTGTTTTCCTGCAACTCTCTTATTCACAGACAGTAATTGACCAATTATGTTTGTATGTAAAAGCGGGGATTACTGACGTACTCACCTCTGTAGCCTCACTTTTCTGACGTATTTTTAAACTACAAAAGTATGATAACGAATACAGTTCTCAAGTTATTTGCATTGAAAAAACCGTCTGTATACAGAATAAAGTAACTAAGATATGAAATAAAATAAGTTTTAAAGCTAAGCTAATATTACAAGTGACACAGTGTCGATCGGAATGGTGTTCCACTAATTCGCTTGGATGAGCTAATCCGAGGGGCGACGCCTGCAGTCCGATCGCATTAGCCAATTAGACGTGACAGAAGTATGCCACGCCATACGAATGTACTGTGTAATGCATTCTGGTTTACAGATTAACCTTGTCGTTTAACTTTGATTTTGATTCCAGACTCCTTTTAAGACATGGTTTAATAGATTTTGCTATGGAAACAAGTAGGCTATGGTGGAAATATTGTTTTTATATGAACCGCAAAACACGACTAGTACACACACTGTCTTATGTGCTGCTTAAATCCTTATGGAAAATCAATTTTAGTTTAACTAACTTAAATGCTTCTTAGCAACACGTCTCTACTCCGTCATATCGCGTATCTGCAGTCCTTGTAGGAACAATACAAAATATTATACCTCGTATATGAACAAGATCAAATGTCTGATGCATTGTTTTCTCTTGTCGCCAGCCGAACGAAGGAGCGGACAATCAGGTACTTAGTAGATGATGTAGTTGTGTGTGTCCCATTGTTACGTTTATTTTAGCTATTAGATTATTTTGGTGGCGGTTTTCTAATACTCAGGGTTTAGGATTTAATTTGATCTCCGATCATGTTTTGTTTTGTCACACACACGTTTAATACAGAAACAAAAAAATGTCCTTGTTTGTTTTGCATGATATATGTCATTTACAGTTTACAACACCTTTTTATGTTTAGCACTAACATAGTGAATCACTAATTCCAGACTACTCGTATCTCACAATCCAAATCCAATATACTTATTAGATTTACCTATGTCATAACCACACTCATCCCAATTAGATAATATCCATGCGGTTACTCTGATCATTGTATTATACCGATGTATCCTGCATAGATCACGATTAAGGACTCTGGTTAAGCTCGAAACTAGTCGGGCATCTCCATAATACAAGGATATGTTAAGCAGCTGGAATATTATCTAACTTAGTTTAAAATGTTCACACGATAGTTTACAAAAACTTAATCATTTCTTCTAAGCAACTAGCAGCAAATATTAACACAAACAAAATGTTTGCAGCTATTCACTGCAAGCGCGACACACCTGCACGATGGTCGTCGGGCCCATCCGCCGGACTCGGGGTTCGTGGAGCCCGTCAACAACAACATCAGTGAGGACAACAACAACGGGCCGATATCTCTCCGCGAGATGCAGAACATTGCCAACAACAACGCGGCCGCGTACATCGTGAGTGAGAACGAGGAGAGGAACAGAGTCAGCAGGGAGTCCGTGGTCGAGTTCGAACCACTGCCCACCGGGATACGGGTTGCGGACCCATTGGAGCACTGCGCTGATTGGTTTGGTGAGTATTTGTACCTATACCTCACCTAGAACTCCAAAATCTAATAAATAGTAGGTATAAGGTGTTTCAGAACGTTTCTACTAAAATTGACTTCTTTATATGCTGATGAAGGAGACTCAGGTTGTAACTCCTAAGATAAATCTTTTAAGCAAACTAAATGCCACAAAAGTCGTGATAGGAGCTCTTTAAAGATAAAAGCTTGGTTTATCCACCCTTCCTTCGGTCGAATTTGACCTTTAAAAAGAAATAACTTGTGATAAAACGGCCATTTGATTCACTTGAAATCACCCAACAAAGCGTCAAAAATTGTCATCCATCCTCGTCTCGAGGGATATAAATTGGTAACTTAAAAGCCTTAAATATTACGGCCCAAGTCCCGTAATCCGTAATTCAGTGCTTAGGCCTACTTACCAATGAATAACCCGTTGGCTTCGAGTTTCAACCTTGTATCCATGGGATTTAGATCAGGTTTTGATTGCGTTGTATTGTAGACGCAAGACCTTTTAGAGTTTTAATCTGCACCATTGTTATCGTTCGAGCATTACAAAGTTCCCATGACCGATGACTATCACTGCTAAGCGAGGTATAGAAACATACGAACAATAAAGTTTGGGTGCAGGCTCGCAGTTTGATATTAAATACATGTCATTGTCTACAAATAGCAATAGATAAATGTATAAATTTACTGTGAAGAATTTCATCAAGGTTTTTTCTGAGAATTAATTCACAATGTAATAATTATAACTTGCTTGGATTTTTTTTCATTATACTTTTCGCACATGTAGCTAGCGTGCACTCCAAGCGTCGTATGTTTTCATACAAACTGGCTTAATACAAAGAAACATGCAGCCAATTGATTTTAAATGTACTTAATTTAGCATAACTTGTTCCAGGCGAAGAAGATTTCCCGCGCAACAGATTGCAGTATCTTCGAGAGATTGGCAGAGGATGGTTTGGAAGAGTAAGTGGATACATTAACAGATATTATCCAAAATCCCTATGCTGAATGATATTTTACCAATACTCATGTTTAGCAAATGGTTAGGGAATCGCAGCTAGGTAACATGGGCGCATAGAGTGGGGAATCTAGGCGCCCACCTAATGACCTCAAGGATGACGGCGGCACAGTGGTCACGTGCCGCCGTGCAGTGCACAGAGAGGCTCTAGGACAGACACATAGGCCTCCATAGGAGGTGTCGTAAAAGGCGTTGCACTGTAGGGGCTCCGGAGTTGGTCTACTAAGAGGACCCGGTGCCTCCTTCAAGTGCGGATGGTGACCACCGGGGAGGTTTAAGTGAGGTAAAAATCCCACACTCCCACAGTCTTTTTCCCCAAAAAGCTAGGCGCCTTTGGAAGGTTCCCCCCCCCCCCCCCCCGCCGTCAACAAAAAAAAAGAAGAAAAAATAGCTAACAGAAACAATGAGATGTTTGATGACATGTACGGATTCTGGAATAACAACAATTATATTTGATCTGGTATATTGGTAGTTTGGTACCAAATCAGTTAACAGTGTTTCAAGATTTTGATTTATATAAGACATTAAGAGCTCAAGGACAAATATATGACATCCATTGTTCTATAAGCCAAGCCTAGTTTTTTCTTATTTGTGCACGGGTGGGTGATCATTCTCTAGTGCCATTTAATATATAACCTGAAAAACGTCTGTCGTTTTATTTATACAAATGTTCTGAACGTTTACTCAGTACAAACGTAACTATTAATGTTGATATTTTATTGGTGCAGGGTAATTTAACGTTGCATATTTATTTACCAATAATATTTTACGTGGTCTTTATACCAGTCTCTAAAGGCAACACAGAATATAGACGAAGATAGACAGACAGTGTTTTATTCCGTGTTAGGTCTTCCCAACCACAATAAATGATTTATATCAAAACTAGCTTTTACCCGCGGCTTCACTCGCGTCACAAAAGGATAAAAAGTAGCCTATGTGACATATACCAATAGACACAGCGCCATCTATACCAATACTTTTGTTTTCCCTCGGGAATATCAAATTTTTCCGGGATAAAAAGTACCCTATTGTTTAATCCGTGGGCTCGCTGCCATTGCAGCGGTAAGTCCCCTCTTTGAGGAGTGGCTTGAGAGACGCTACGGCGTCCTCACCTACCGCCTGACGCAGGTCCTCACCGGACATGGAAGTTTCGGGAGGTACCTGTGTCTGATGGGGCGGGAGGAAACGCCCGGGTGTCATCACTGCGAGGACCACCCTGAGGACACGGTGGAACACACTGTTGCGGAATGCCCTGCGTGGGCTGAGCACCGCCGTGCCCTCAGGGAAGTGATCGGCGATGGAGACCTCTCGCGTCCGGGCCTAGTTCAGGCCATGATGCGGAGCGAGGGGGACTGGGATGCCGTCTCCTCCTTTTGCGAAGCAGTCATGCTGGCTAAGGAGGAGGCGGGACGCGCGAGGCAGCGAAGCGCTGCCTCCTCGCAACCCAGCCATCGCGAAGGACACACCGGGCGTCGGGGATCGCGGGACGATCTCCGGCCACCGTAAGCGCGGGCCTGCGGACGGCGAGCATGGGTGGCTCCCCGTCCGACCAGAAACAGACCCGAGCGTACGGCGCGTCGCGTTCCGCGCGCGCCTCAAAGAGCCATCAGACCACCACAGATGGGGCCCAATAGGGCCGATGCCGATTCGGAGTCGCGGAGAACCTAACGGGTAACCGGGGCTCCGGCTCGACGTGCAGGAGAAGGAACGGGGTGGTTTTTAGTCAGTAAGAGTCTGACACTCCCTTCCGCCTCACCCAGGCGGGAGCAGTCATTCGATGATTTTCCCCCTTAAAAAAAAAAAAAAAAAAATTGTTTAATCCGGACTTCTAACTTTATGTCTGCAAAAATCAAAGCAATCGGTTTAGTAGTTACGGCGTAAAAGCGGAACAAACAAACTCACTTTCCGATTTATTATATTAGTAAGGATATGTAGATATTAAACATAAAATACAAGGTGCATTAATTAAATGTTGTATTGATATCATGGAGTCACGTTTTACGATGGAATTAAGTGAACATGATGAGTATTTACACACGTGTACTGACGTCTGACGTGCAATGTTATAATATTTAACTATAAAATAAAATTACTAAGTTTCTGACAAATAGAAATAGTTTAGGAGTGGGAGGTTGTTATGTCATAACTTGCTACAAAATGTGACTTTTCAATGTTTCAAATTATTTAATTTTGTGAGAAAAGAAAAAATACGTGTCTAAAGTTTTAAATTAATTTACCACACGGAGATTGTCTGCGCCTGAACGCAGCCGGACGCTCCCGGAAGAGAGGCGGGGCGCGCGGAGGAGAACTGAGAAGAGAGGCGAGCGGAAGCGGCGCACGGCCACCATCTTACTTTTTCTTGTTGGGATCGTTCGCGGACGACGCGGGCACAACACAAGCTTACCGTTTTAATTCCAATATACCAGTTTAAATACAGTCCACTATTATTTAAGAGACCCATTCCCAATAGAGCTTAAAATAAAATTTAGGAAACTACCCTATTGTGTCATGTAGCATTCTTTTGTCTATGCCTACCCTAATTAAAGACAGGCGTGTATGTTATCACTTGATGATTCTGCCGATATTCTAGTGTCAATGAGGTACCTAAGTATATCTTTCTTTTTTCTAGGTGGTTGAGGGTGAGGTTGAAGACAACGGGTCCACGAGCACAGTGGCGGTCAAGATCCTCAACCAGAATGCCAGCTTGGAGGATAAGGCGCGCTTCCTGGACGAAGCCAAAATGTACCGCGATGTCCGACACGAGAACATACTGGCTTTCATCACCAAATGTCTCCAGGAAGACCCTTGGATACTCATATTCGAACTTTGTTCTATGGTAAGCCTTTATGAAGTACTAGCTACAACCGCTCGATTTCACCCGCTGCTCGGCTCCTTTTGGTCAAAGCGTGATGTTTTTAGCTTATAGCTTTCCTTGATAAATACACTATCCAATACAAAAAGAATTATTTAAATTGGTCCAGTAGTTTCAAAGATTAGCGCGTTCAAACAACGAAAACTGCTCTTCGACTTTATATATTAAGTAAAGAATAAAGATGTCTTCCAGTTTCTGCTGATTAGACAGTGGCGGTAGGATTAGAATGACATTCTTTATACAATTTTATTGTGCAAGGCATATATGAGTCGCATTATATAAAATAAATGTAAAAAGGTATTCAATAACTGCATATGTAGACTATTGATGTTTATGTACCCTGCATAGTTAGCTAGTCTCAGTGGAGATACTACCTTTACTCAACTTAGAACACAGCTTATTCACGTAACTTTTTGACGGCGCTCGACTAATTTCATGCCATGCTAAGGGCTCATATTCATGAGGAGTATTGAGCGATACACAAGTGACTGTTATATAATGTTTTTCATTAACCTTTGCAGGATCTTCAGCAGTACTTGATAGTGAACCGTCCTAAGATGGCCATACTGAACGAGAGCGGAGTGCCACTTCGTCTCATGTGTGACGTCAGTTCTGCGCTCGCGCACCTGCACTCACGAGGCTTTTTATATGGGTATGTATTTAAATTGTTTTAAAACATATGGCTTCAGTTCTTATTCATTTCATCTAAAGTTAATTTTATTGTTTCTGATGGCAACATGCTTTTTTTTAAATGAACATAAACATAAAAGAGAAACATTAGATTTTCTCTTGTGTCGCGGGTGCATTTACATATCAAAAGTCAAATGTGGTTGAAAGTCCTTACAATTGAATAGGCTTTTTAAATAAACTAATAAACTCAGGTATGTCCAAAAATTGCAACCAGTCAAACGCCATCCCTCAAAGTATTCTTGCGGAGATCTGGAACATTAAAAAAGTATGCATATTATAGAACCTCTTCCTGCCATTTCCCAATTGACGATGATACTAGTTTGCATTGACTTGGTTCCAGCAACGTATGGTGCGGGTCGGTGCAGGTGCGCGGGGCGAGTGAGAGCGCGCGCGCGGTGCTGGGCCAGTACGGGCCCGCCGCGCCGCCCTACCACCTGCCCGCGCCAGAGACTCGGGCGCAGCCACCGCTGTATACTGTACGTAATGTATTGCATGCTATATGGCAGGTTTTGGCATTTGTTTGTATAGGCAGTATAGTTTGAATTAGTATTTTATGTTTGAAGCTTTAAGGTTAAAGTTAAAACCCATTTAATTAAAACTAAGCTATCTATATAAGTTTGACTGAACCTACATCCTTGAATGTTCAGTTGTGAATGTTTTATGAATATGATGTAGAAAACATTTTTACCTTCATGGAGATTCACACAATTATTGTCTTTAAGTATCTCTAGTATCTCTAGAACATTGTTAAAATAAGATTGTGAATATAAATTATTATTAATATTAAAATATTGGAGTAATTTACTAATTAACTTATGTTTGCAGGCCCAAAGTGAGTCTTGGTGTCTGGGCACGTTAATATGGGAGGTGTGTGCCTGGGGCGCCTCGCCAGACAGACTGCCGCCGCCACTGCCAGACCTGCCCTGTCCTTATAGGAATCATCTGTAAGTATACACTACGCCTTTGAGATTATTCAAAACACCAATAAGTCATGAAGATTGTACAGTAACACAAGCATATTGTTCCAGCTACCAAGTGATGCAGCTGTGCTGGAGCGAGCAGGCGTCGAGTCGTCCGACGGCGGCGCAGGTGCAGGCGCTAGTACTGCACCTGTACTGCAGCACACGCGACCTGCCCGAGCCCAGGGACGACGGATACGGCAGCTCCGACTTCGAGGAGCGCTGGCAGAGACTCAAACCCAACTCTATACCCAAGCACGACGAGCACCGCGCCATCGTACACACACACGACGACCTCAGCGTCGACATGGACACCGCCGTATCGCGCTCCAGTAGCATCATGTCCGACAAGGACATGTCCGTGCAGATCAAATCAGAAAGCTTGACCAACCTCCACGGCTCACTAGAAGATGTCAGGAACATCTACCTCACCCACAACGAGACCGCCACGCTGGAATGCCACCAAGGCAACATTAGTCTCGAAGACGCCAGGGAGAAGGAGCAGGACCGCTCCGACGCCTCCATGGACCCCTGGCTCAAGGATATCATAGCTGGCAGCACAGATGACGTCAGCTATTACAAAGATGTCAGTGACGTCATCAAGAATCTCGATAATATACTAAATTCTGAAAAAACTTCAAGTTCAGAGTCGAGTCATCAAGCTAGTCCCTCTAGGGACAATCTAAGCTTGGACTGCAAGAAGGATTACCCGATGCAATCCAGTATGGTCAAGTCTCCCGGTATCACGAATTTCCAGAATATTCTAGATACTGGATTCAGTTCAAAGTCAGAGGAAACTGAGACGGGCGATGACGACGAGCTCGACCGCGACACTATAGGCACGCTGAGCCACTCGTTCGAGCGACACAGTGAGCTCGACACTACCAGCCAACACACGCTAGAGAATCTCACACCTGACACGCCAATAAAAGACATAGACGTCGTCAGAAGAATTGAAATTCAAGTGGAAGTGGAGAGGGTCGATATAAACAATGTTTTAGTTAATAACGAACCAGTTGAGTCCGTACATCAACACACAGAATTGCCAAATGATAACAAAATAGTGAGTAGTGATAGTGAAATACCCAAGCTGAAGGAATTATGTGTAGCGTCAATACCTAGTGCTAGTGATATCGAACAATTGAATGTTAAAGACTGTCAAACATCATGTGATAGTAACTTAAAAGAAATAAGTACTGATATTAAGAATGAAACTAAGTCAATAGATGATGTAGGGAAGGTTGAAGATACGCCTCGTGAAGTAGAGAGTAAGGATTCTTTAGATAAGATCGAACTGGAACAAATGGTAGATGATATATTCTTGCCTATATTGGTACATGGCAAAACAACTAGTAAAGTAGAACAATCACAAGATGAATCAGCTGAGGAAAAGCTAGAAGAGAAACCAGCTAAACATGAAGATAGTGATAATGAAAAAGTCCTAGATAGTGATCTCATAAAAGTAACTGAAAGTTCTGAAGCCTTTGGAAACTCGAAAGAGGATAGTTTAGGTGAAGTGAGCGATTTAGAGCCATCAGAGCTCCTATCTCCGGAACAGACGCCTGAGTCAGTACAAAGTATGAGTAATATAGAAAGCTCTAACTTGAATGAAACAAAAGAGACTGAAATACCAGTAATCTTAATAGAGGAAGTGAAATCTCCAACGCCAGAATTGCCACCTGAAATAGTACAAAGTATTTTTAAGGACGATAATGATACAGAAAGTGCCACTGTCAGAGATGAAATTGAAGATGCTATGAAAGAAGATGATAAGCCTGGTATAAGAATACAGGAGGTCCAATACCAAAATGCAATAATAAAGGAAGAAATTAATACTTCTGTGGAACAAGTGGTCAAGGAAACTGATGATTCCACAAACAATAGAAATATTTATGAAGAAATCTCATCTGAACCTATCATAGACCCAAACAATTACTCCAGTTATGTTACAAAAGCTGCAACAAATGTAGTGAAAGATGTTTCTGATTTCCTTTTGGAAGAACGAAAGATATCAATGTTACATGAAATAAAACCTAAATTGGCAATTGAGGACAGCCAATCACCAACAGATGTAACCAAACACAATCAAGAATCTACTTTATGTGCAGTGCATAAGACAGAAGATGTCTTAGCACAAGTTGAATTTAATGAAGTAGAGAAATTAGAAGAAGAAAATAAGGATAGTTTACTAGATGAACTCAAAGATGCCAATATTATTGAAGATGCAAATGTTAGTAACATTGTCCCTTTACTTTTAGATAAAGCATCTCCTATTACTGTTGACTCTAAAGAAAATATTCTAGTTAAGGTAGAAAATTTTGAACTAGACAAGAGTCCACAAAAAATTCAACTTGATGAATTTACTATTGATGAAGAAGTAGCTAAAGTCATTGTAGAAAATGTTAGCAAAGATATCCCTTTAGTACAGGATGTCGAGAAAAACGATGTAGTCATAAATAAAATGGAAATAAGAGATGATAAAATCTCTACAACTGTATTTGAAGAAGCTCCAAAACCCCAAGTGGAGCACACAATCCATAAAGACGAACCCACAGCTGATAATCATGAAGAAACTGTGATTTCAGTTATAGCTAACGTGAGCATAGAGTCTACATTGAAAGAGGATGATACTGAACAGGCTCCTGATGAAATATTAGGAGCCATTATAGAACCAATCAGTTCCACTCATGTAGAGAATGTTAATGCAGCACTTAAAAATGATAAGGTTCCTATAACAGCTGTTCTAGTAGAGAAAGTTGAGGATAATTCTGATGGTGATAAAATTAGATCTGATAATAATACCCTAGCTGATACGAGAATACATTCAGACAACAGCACTGTGTACATGGATCTCATTAACGATACTAATAATGGAATACTGAGTGATAACACCTTAGATAGTCATGTAAGAAACGTCATCAAATCCTGCCTGGACAATTCTAGCTCAGACAATGCATGCACTCTCGTCAAAAATGAGTCTACCGAGTACCTAGATCCTCCTAGTTTTGGTATTAAGGATATAGACAATTTCTTGCACATGGAAAAGGTATTCAACAGCCAGAATGCTGAAGTTGTCTCCAGTACTCCATTAGCGAGCGACGGCTCTGCGGAAATAAATAGCACGATCGAGAATTCCATCAAAGGGGAACTATCTGAAACTAAGGTGCCAGACTTCGGGATGGGAGTGTCTGTCACTAAATTGGAACAGAGATATGTTCCCGACAGCATGAGCCCTTTTGAGTCTCCAACTAAGAGCCACCACACTGACACTTATGATGAAAACAGTTCAGTTGTGCTCGGCCCTTTTGAGAATTGCACGCTAGAGCTGTTCAAAGGAGCGAAGCCCGCCGAATTAGTTGACTTGCCCAAAGAAGAGCTACTAGCATTTTCGTCAAATTTTAGTGAGATGAATCTCGAAACGCCATCTCCTTTGCGTGACGGAAATTTTCTAAACGAAGTACCTGATATAGTGCACGATGATTTACAGTTTGATGATGTTCAGAGTTTAAGTGAGAAGCAGTCGGACCCTCAAACAGAGACTCCGAGTGCGCCCAGCGGTAACTCGGGGACGGAGAAGCGAGTGTCTCCCTTAACGCCACCGAACTCCCCTGGAGTGTTTCTAGCTTCGACGTCACAGCAGAAATATATTGTAGACATTGACCTCACTTCCGAACCAGCACCTCTACAAGAGCCGGACCTCTCACTTCAGAAAGAGATAGAACTCAACCAAATAGAGTTACAAATAACTTCAAAATTAGCAATGGCGGAGAATGAGAATAATATGAACATCGAATATTCTGGGCCTTTGACGGTGGAAGGTTTAGTTTCTGATGACGAGATGTTGCTGAGGGAAAGCGATGCATTGCCCGAGTCTTACCTGGCGGGGAACGGAGGATATGTGGAGGATATGAGAGAGGACTTGACTCTGGACGAGGAGTGCGTCAAAGCGCTGAGGAATGAACTGGAACTGAAGTTGCCGTTGGCACAGGTCAGTAACAAAATTTATTTCATTAACATTAAAGTCCATTTTTCTTTACACATAACTAAAACATATGACGTAAAAAATGAGTCATGGTGAAATTGCATATTTGTCATTGAAATACCTATTCCTGTCAGGTAGCGAGAAAATAAAAGAAACACACTCGTTATCTGGGATTACGTAGTTATCGATCAGTGTTTGACAGCGTATCGCGCGGTAGCTGGCAATCGCGGGAAATAGTTTAACCACTTATCCTTACACCGGTGATAACACTAAACTTGTTGTATCTTGCTTTTTTTTAAATAATAAACAACAAAAATTTAATACTCGTGCCTAATATTGCCTATAAAAGAGGAGGTGCTGTTTTTGTATTACTGTATTCAAGTGAAAGTTTTACGTGGCTGATAAAAATGCGTTTGGATATGGAGATAGAACAAATGATACAGGTATTATTAAAACTTATTTTGTTTTTCAATGTCATAAATATGTTTCAAATGAATAAAAAGTATGCCTTTGAGCTTAAGCCTATTTGAATGATTGGGTCCATGTCTCTTTACATTATATACTAGCAAACCCGGCGAACTTCGTTTCGCAACCAGATGGCTTTCATTTACATAAAATTTCGTTTGGTGATTAAAAAATTTTAGGATTTTTTTTTCCTGATTTTTTTTTTTGCTATAAATCTCACGGAGCCCGAGAGGAGACCTTTCCAACGAATTTAAAACCGTGAAAATCGGTTCGTGCGTTATGGAATTATAGCGTCAGGACGGAAAACACGACTTCAATACATAGTATAAAACAAAGTCGCTTTCGCTGTATGTCCGTATGTATGCTTAGATCTTTAAAACTACGCAACGGATTTTGATGCGGTTTTTTTTAATAGATAGAGTGATTCTTAAGGAAGGTTTGTGTGTATATATATATTGCACCCGTGCGAAGCCGGGGCGGGTCGCTAGTATTTTTATATAGTAGATAACTATTTTGACATTATCGACAAACAGCCAACAGGATAGTAAAAATTCAATTTACAAGCTAAATTAAAGGAGATCATTTCGGCTCCATACATTTTGAAAGAGTTTTTCTTTGGGAAATAAGACCCAAAATTATTATCTCCTTTTGGACACGCTTTTAAAGTTCATTTTTATTTAAACTCTAACTCTTGTCGTACAGGTAGCAGCAATAGAGCCTCCTTGCGAGCAGGAGTGGTCTGCCGAGCTGCCTCCACCGCCAGAACTTATCGTCAGCTACCCGGGCGCGCTGAGCCCCATCGCTGAGGAGACTGGTCAGCAACTGTCGGCGTATGAGAATGATATGAATTGTAAGTGACACTTAAGTACCATGTTCAATACGCATCTTTTATCATTATTCTCTAAAGGAAAATAGTATCAGGTTGATCGAAGAGTTATTGAAAATTTCTATTTTCGAACATTAATATTTTCAATACTCAATTCTATATTGCTTTCCACATGTATCACTTTGGTGGTAGATGTAATTAGGACAAAATTCAATTCGAGGCATGAAACTGGAGAATTGTTTTTTTAAATTTCGAAGAGAGCTTTACTACTTAGGGCCGATTTTTCTTCAATCATCAATTCATCAGTTAACTCTTAACTATGGAATATTATTGACATTTGACAGTTTTTAGTATGGATAATTGTCAAAATTCAAAGGCGAACGGCAGAATCCGTACAACATACTTTTTTGTTGTACCTTGATAGGATTCGTACCACTTATTACGACAACTTTACTTTTATACAAGTTGGGCTTCATCAAAAATATCAATTAAAAGATTTATGAAATTAAACTAAGTAATCTAATGAAACACATGTTTTTGAAGTTGCCATTAGTAATATATAAGGAGGCTCAAAATGATAAATATTTATAAATAAAAAATCCGTAAATGTAATGAACTACTAATACATTATACCTTAGAATACATAATTATTGCATAAATATGCGTACAATTTTTATATTAACAGGAATTATTTTTGCCATCAATATATTTTCTCCTCAGTTATAATTCGTCCCTAAAGTCGACGGTTCATTAATCTGCCGTCACCACTCGGCACTGGCAGTATAGTCGACAATCCCGTTTAGGAGACTCGGTTGCCAAAGAAGAAAAAACATATCTGGCATTGGAAAAATCGGCCCTTCGAGTGGTTGCAAGTGTAACGAGTATATTGAATAGGTTCACTCTATTTAGTGATAGCCTATGAACAAAGAAACATTTGACTTAAGTTTTAGACTCCGATCTCCAACTAGGTCTTGAGAATTTGACAAACTAAACAGTAGGCTCATAGTCTAGTACTAGAATGGCATGGATTATTGACCATCCTAGTGCGAGACTGTCCTAATAATGTAGATATGTACAATCGTTAAAAAGATTTATATTATATATGACTAATCGGAAATGGTAAATATTCTGCCAGCGGCCTTCAGTCTACCAGCTGCATTGATGATAGATAATATTTAAAATTAAAATCAATATTATCGTATGATATGTAACGATGTCCATCAATGTAATTGTATTAGTACATGTTTATTTACTACTGTAAACATCACACTCACATCTCATATTTTCTCTGATTTTTCTCCATAATTTTATCTTTCTCAGATTCGATGGTTTTATCTGTTATGTTATTTAATTCCAGGATCCCCCTATAGTATAATGTCTATCTATATAAAACTAGGCAACTTACTGCAATTAAATATTTCTCTGTCCATCTGAATTTATTTAATTATTTAAACCTTTGTCCTATCGTCTCATACCTGTATCACTCCGGCTAAAGATCACTTGGCAGTCATTTCAATAAAATGTCAAAAAAAGATAAATAACCTTCATTAATATAAGCCCTTGTTCCTCTCATAATAGGGAACCTGTCGACCCGAACAGAATCTTCAGAGAGCTACCCGGAGCCTTGCAACAACAGCACTGATGACGTCACGGAGCTGCCTACAGGAGCGCAGACATACACGATACAGTCGCGCGACCCATCGCGCAACCCGTCGCGCGACCAGTCGCAGAACAACACATACACGCTGCACAGGGATCTCGACCTTGCCAGCAGTAGAGAGTGAGTACATTTATTCAGGAAATTACAACTGTTACGGAAGGCGAAAGTCCGGTGAACTAAGGCCAACGCGTCGAAAGTTACTGACCGATGCAGTAGTTCTTTACTTCTAACTGAACATTCGAACATGCTGCTCGTCACAGGGCTGTTCAAGTCGTTTGTAACAAATATATTGACCAATAAACGATTATGAGTAAATTTCCAAAATCACCTGTATGAGTCATAATTATAATTAAATGCCTAGTAATTATAGTTTAAATGATTAATGTAACGTAAGCCTATGATAATCCTCATTATCTAATAGGTTGTTGAAATCGACTCATTGAAGACCCGTCATGCGAAGTACTCGATTACAGAATGATGCGGTGTTAATTAAAACGTTATGCTTGTAATATGCAGTAATTACTTACTACACGGCATTCGAAACTACAGAGCTAGCGCAGGTGTGTCAGTATTCTAATCTATAAATCATATATTTTACAGAATTACTATGAGCGCAGACAGCTTGAACGCCAGCCCTTTTAAAAAGCTAATGCCTGACAGCGACGCCGACTCACCGATTGACGACAAAACATACACGAAGGAAGAAGAGAAAGAGTCCCTCGAGAGGATATCGCAAGTGTCGCCCTTTCTGCTGAGCCCCACCACCGACACGTCCGCGCCGGAAAACTCTGATAACCTCGACAATGCCACCGGAGTGTCCACTCTATCCAAGACCACCCTCCCCACAGACGCCAAGCTGTCCAAACCGTCCGAAACACAGTGTCTGTCCAAAGCCACCAGCATCGACTCGTGGTGCTCCAACGACACTCTGTACAATGTCGAGGAAAACTTCGACGACCTAGCGATGGACCCGGACGTGCCCGACTTCGAGCCGGAGAGGGACGAGCACAGCGAGAGTACGGACACGTTAACTCACAACGACGACGAGAAGGAAGTCAGCCACTGCTCGACTTACATCATACACGACAGTAAGTCGGAGGCCTGCGAGACCTTCTCGCCGGACTCCATCACCGCCAACGACAACTACACGTATACGAAAGTGAAGACTGATAACGCAGGTACCACGCCGTCCGTACTTACCAAGTCCGACCTGAACGATTCCACTAAGAACACCACCAAGGACCTGGCATATGGTACACTGATGTCGGGAATGCCTTCCTACTCCAATTGTACTACGGAGGTGGTGTCGGGCTTCGATGACTGGAAGGTGGCTCAACCAGAGCTGGTGAGGAGATCCCCCATGCCCGAAGATAACGACATCACCCCTCCAAACCCAGTCGAGGACAAGGAGGCTGATGTCACGAGCCCGCAGCTTGCCACGGAACCTTCCCTCAAGAAATTAGAGAGTGTCGAGATTAGCTGCCTACAGGATAATCTAATAGACAGCCGCGATAAGACAAACCAGTCGGACAGCGACGCTCTATTAGTAGATACTAACAGTCCGAACTACAACTACAAAAGCATGGCACCATCAGTGACGAGCACTCCACTCATCGACCTCTTGGATGATGCCGAGAATGTTGAAGGAATCCCCATGCATCTCCCCACAGGTAGCAGGGAGTCCTCGGAAGACAGCGTGCATGTACCAAACTTCCAGGCCTTCATACAATCCGTCGAAGTGAGGCCGCAAGACTTGTCCTCCAATGTTAGCAATGAGGGCACCAACCAAGACACGGAGATCCTGCTGGACGGAGAAAGCAAAACTTTAAGCAGGAACAGCAACCGCGACAGCTTAGCAGTGTCCGAACGTACGCCGACATATTCCGACTTTGAAAACTCGGCACTATCCAAACCACAAGATGTAAACTCGAAAGATAAGTCTAGTCAGAGCATGGAGAGTGGAATCAGTTCAGAGGATTTTCAGAAGTTTGAGACCTCTGTGAGAAGCCGTCCACAAGATCTGTCGTCACTGATCGACGCCAGCTCCCTGCTACTCAAGAGCGAGAGGATGTCCAGTGAACTGGCGATGGGTTCACTGGCCACAGACTTGGATCAGACCAGTCAGTCAGGAAGCCGAGACATCGCGAATGAGCCACAATCTCACACAAGTCCGCCTATCGTTACAAATTTTAACGAATCTCACAGCTTAGTTAATTTTAGAGAACCCAATTTTTTAATCAATTTCGATACTGACGATGAGACCGAGCAACCGCATTCGATTATAATTACCGAAACTACGATGGACGCGTTCAGGGAGAGTCCAAGTAAGAATTACGACTCGAACGACGTGAACATATTAGATGTTAACCATGCCTACGAGCCGCACACTAGTAGATGTCAAGCGCAAGAAGACTTTGAGAAGCTACTAGAACACAAGATTAACGGAGAGTTGGATTTTAAAGAAGACAATCTAATAAACTGCGAACATTTGTCGCCGAAAGTAGAAACTGTGTCTGAGAAAACGGACACAACGAACAGTATATTTGTAACAGAGGTCCACAGTGCGCCTCACACGTCGAGAGCGAACGACAAGAGTCGTACAGTAAACGAAGTAGACTGCAACGGAGGTAGTGAGAAGTTCGCTACGGTGAACTTCTTGAACGAGACCTTCGAGGAACTTATCGAGAGTAATGTAGATGATGAGACGAAAGACCCGAAGACTGAGGAACCGCCGAGCGAAGGAAATGCTTCAGAGAGTTTAAAATCTAGTGACAGTCCATTATTGCAAGACCTGGAGAGTCCGAAAGGGTCGAAGAGTATAAAGGATGAACTCCAGGAGATTGGAGAGCTGACGAACGGAGTTACGGAGGAGAACGGAAGGATGACCGTGGTCACGGAAGATTTCCTGCAGAATGAGAAGAATTTCTGTCAACTGGACTCGTATTTTCCGTTGCTGAGTGATATAAGATTCACTGGTGAGTTTTTACAAATCAATTATTTCATTACAGTCCAATGACTAGATTCAAAATTTAAGTTTTTAAGTTAGTTACTGTGATATTTAACACAAAAATTACATTTCTAACAAAGACCTAATCGAATTCCGATCCAAATCGATCACCAAAAATACCAAAACCCTTAAATATAAGTAACAATACTACATAGTACCAAAGTAATAATAATTATTGCAATCTTATCGTCTCTAGGTCCAGCTACAGAAATAATGAGTACATCATTCACACAAGACTCTCCGACGGAGCCTGCCTCGCCAGAGTGTCCAGAGAAGCGAGACACGGCCGCTGAACTGCTGAAGGAGTGGGACAGTGACTCTGATTCTCATACTAGCAACTCTTCAAGCGGGGAGTTTATATGGAAGGTGAATAATTCATTTATATTCGTGGTTTGAACACTTGGGTGGGGGAGACTTGCTTTTATTCATATTATAATAATATTAGTGTTTAAAATCGGTTGTACTACTCATATCTGTCAATTTCATTTATTGGATTTTCGATTTTACATTTAAAGTTGAAAATCTCATAAATGAATTTTACACAAAGAAGTAGTGTTCAAAAAGGTTTTATTCTAGTGGTTTTAGGAAGTGTGTGTGTGTGTGAACTGTGTATATGATCTCTTTGGTGTAATTAGCATGATTATAATAGTGATGATAGTTTTATCGTGTGTAATTATTTATTTATAGAACATGGAAGACTTATTGATAATAAAATACCTACAATTAAAAATAACAATAAGTACAGGTCGATACCTGTACTTATTCTTATTGTCCTAAGAATTATGACCTTAAACTGTCAAACACCGCGAGGACACCGGTGACCGCAACCTATTGTTCTTTAATTGTGTCTATAATGACGGTACTCAAAGAGCTAAATCAATGTGATGTGAGTACTGGATAAAACAAAATTAAAAAGATACTAAAGTTTACATTGAAAAACAAAATAGAACCCAAAAATACAGATCATGCAGACAATCTGATTTACAATTAGAAATGATAGACCTAACTGATATACACAATATATTAGATCGGGAAAGTTTAATGAAACGTCGATTTTCTTTTATATAATTTAGGAACATATAAATGACTCAGGTCTCACTCATCCAAGTATTGCCTATGTTTAATAATCCGGTGTAAGAATTCGCTGCTGTGACTAAAGCAATACTATACAAAATGTGTCTAATGTAATGGTGTGGATACTCTGTAGTTTCTGTCCCTGCTTCATGTTGGTATACTTCCTTGTACAATCGACAAGTTTGAATCGTGACCTATTGTATCAAAATAACAGGTACTCCTTTTTTAAATTCATGGCCAATTTTAATCTTTGTCACTGGAATAGATATTATTTTGGAATTCATCTTTCTTTTGTAATGATTGAGTTTTGAGTCAATATATTATGTACAATAATTTCCAGTAGAATAAAATGCAAAAACTGTGACTTGATAAAAATAATTATCTAACAAGTTCTTTACCGTCGATAAGTATTTTCGTGTAAGGTCGATTTAAATGTCTGTAGGACAGCAAGCGAATAGTGGGTCACTTTACAAATTGGTCAATTGTACTTAGAGACTGTGATAATAATGTTCAGCTTTATAGTTTAGAAATAAAACAGAATAATGTGTCAACAAACAACAGTTATTGAAAATGGAATTCATGAACCATAGACTTGCTATTTTGCTCACACATAAATACTTTTTCTAAGCCATAAAGTTGAACGACAAAAGAGTTTATAATGCATTTCCAAATTTAAATTACTCCTTGCTTTACTATGGATCTTACAATTTAGCTCCCCTTGTTGTATTTATACATATGTACATGAAACCACTGGTATGGCTGAACATGGTTGCTTATCCTGGCTTGAGGGAGGTATCACGTTATTAAATATACAGTATTTACAATTCATAAATTTGTTTTTCTTGAAGAAAAATTGTTAATGATGTAAATCTAATTAATTTGATACCGATTTACAACGAAAAATATCCTATAAGGATTGATCAATCGAAATCTGTGTATAGAAAAGAATAAACAAATAAGCACTGTGTGATTGATGAATAGAGAATGTCATTCAGCATTAAGTCCACCCTTGTATGATTGTACATAAAGTGTTAGATTAATAAATAAATAAACTGCATCATCTATTATAATTTATTTCACCACTAAATACATTTACAACTAACAAATCAGAAAAGGATTCAAGGAAAACTAATCCTGACATAGATTGTCAGGATCAATAAGGTCAACGTGTTACTAAAACGATGACGTGATTCTCCCCAAGCCACAGCCTGTACATGTATATAAATATGGGTGTCGGTGTGGTGTGCATGTGACGTTACCTGTGTGTGCTAGGACGGCGACGGCCACGAGACCTCAGTCGTACCATCCACGCACTTCGACCACGTAAGTTTGTGCCCTTTTATATAATACATCTCTGTGCATTTATACGCGCCTGGTACTTGTCGCGAGCTTGTTGGAATGTTGTTTAAACTTTGTGTGGTTTGTGGGCTGTTTTTTTTTTTGTTTTAATGAACGTTTAGGTTTGTACTTAATCTTAATTAATGCTTAATCGTGCGGGGTATTTGTCACGTGATTATGGACATCTAAATCATAGTATTTTTTCGATCAATATCAAAATATTGATTTTTTAAGTCTTTTTTAAGTATTAAGGTAGTAAAATGTCTAACAACGATTCTTTAAATCCAAAAGTTGATTAAATAAATGATTTTAAAAAAACATCCCACATCTGTGAAGTGGTTTTAATGAACTGAAAATGTATTATTCAAGCTTGATTTTGTTTGTAAATAACTGTAAAATAGTCAATGTGTAAATATTATTATTTTAGAACAAAACATATGTTTGCTTGAAATCACATTGTATAATGTCACTTTTTCATTAATAATTAATATCACTTTTTCACTATTTAATCAGCATTCCAACCCATTTTCTTTTTCTATAATTCATTTCAGGTTTGCTCTGTATTTCCCAATTTTCATAGAATAGTAACTTGTATAGAAACACTTCAGTAGTTTGTGTGTCCATTGCAATACATCTTTTTAATTACATGCATTTTGTGAATCAGATCATATTATAATTCAATTACAAGCATTATTCAAATAGTTACCATAATCAAAACTTTCAAACATCGCGGTTGCAATCATTTAACCGATTCGTTGCGACGCCCATTTTGGTGCACTTTTATGCGACGAACAAATATTTCGTGACACGACAGTCGTGTCAAGCGCCATATCAGTTGATGACACGCCTATTGTGCCATCAGCCATGTACAGAAAAAATGCTCTTTTTTTTGTTTACCCTTGTATTCAGTCTACTTCCAAAATCGAAAGTAAACGGTCAGTTACTTTGTGTTAAGTGGTTTTGAACTGATTATATGTGTTTCACTGAAAATGGATGGTAAGTGATTTTTATTTTATTCAGATGTTATAAACCTTTTGTATTGTTTTATGATTTACATACATATCATACTGGGATTGTAGGTTATAATAAAGATTCTAATTTCTGTTTTTATTATTTGATGTCATTTGTTGTGTTTCATCGATGTGTAGTAGGCAAGTGCCCTAATGATAGCAGAATATGGATACAGATATTTTCCTGCAAAAAAATCTGCTTATGTTTTGTACATTAAACAATTTTTATTTTATTATTTTACTTTACAAGCGAAAGAGTTATAAAAGAGTCATCTGAGAGCTCAGATCTAATATCTCACTCCGATATCCGTATAACCGTATATAACCGTAAGACAACACAATATGGTATTTTCCAAAATCTTGCCGAGACGATCTAGCCGACTTACGAAACTTGTTTACAAAATAAATTCTTAAGGGATCGGAACAAGATTTAGCAAATGTGAAATTCATTTATTATTTACTAGCTTTTACCCGCGGCTTCGCTCGAGTCACAAAAGGATGAAAAGTAGCCTATGTGATTTGTTGACTGGTTTTAAATGACATACAACGCCATCTATACCAGTACATACAGCGCCATCTATACCAATATTTTTGTTTTTCCTAGGAAATATCTTTTAATCCAGTTTTCCCTATTATTTAATCCAGACTTGTAACTTTACGTCTGCAAAATTTCAAAGCAATCGGTCTAGTAGTTACGGCGTGAAGGTGGAACAAACAAACAAACTCACTTTCCGATTTATAATATAAATAAGGATAAGGATATGTAATACCTACCTACTTATGTATGTATCTAGGTATCTAATACCTACTTATATTTAGAATAGCCCGATAAGCTAAATAAGATAATAAAAATAGATGCAGCTATTAATAATAATTCGAGATAAATAATGCATTTCATTAATACGTACCTAATCGCAGTAATCGTAATGCAACTTATCGAGGTTGTCAACCCCTGAAATTATCTGATTTGCATTATTTCCAGAAATGAAGTCTATAATAATGATCCGCATTCAAAAAGATTAATGTTTAGTTCAAGAAGCACCTCAAGAACATTTCGATTTGAGCGGGTTATAAGACATTTAAAAATGACACGAAAAGCGTGTCATACGCCATATGTAAAAAAATTGGATGGCACGTCTGTCGGGCCATTCGCAACGAATCGGTTAATAGAAGCTTTAACGTTTCTACTTATTCTTAACGTTTAAAGTATATTTCCTAACAGCAGCGAACAGGGGAGTCTCGCAACAACAGTGGTGGGGAGCGTCACGGATCCCCTCCAGGCGGGTCTGCGGGCTCCGGCCCTTCGGACGGATCTGCGGACTCGGGGTCGGGCTCCGAAGGCGATGAGGTGGAGTTCGTGCCTTCCTCGTGGGACTGTCGCGCGGCCCCTTCTAAGTCATCACTAAGGAGCTTGGAGCAAGCGACACCGGTATGTAATAGTAGTTATTTTGACAATTATTGTATATTTACTAATTCTATTGATAGACCCTCGATCTTATAACGTTCGATCAAAAGTTTATGCCGTAATACATTACAGTTTGGTTATATGTAGGTTATTCGGTTTAGTAACTTTGTCATTAGAAAGAAACATTTTGCCGTAATAGTTCTAAATATAGTCTACTAAAATATTGCCAATACATAGTCATTATAAAAGTCCATTTATTAGCTTATTACACAAACACTAACTACATACTTATGACTCGTCAAAATAAGGAAGGAAACACATCTAAACACGTGACATGTTTATAAATACATTGATTGTGCCAATTGTTACACATTTGGGCGCATACAGTAATACAATTAGGACATCGTTGCAATTATTTCATCAGTGTTATTATAACGGTGACTATTTTCGGCTAGACCTTCTGAAGTGTCTATGTTAGTAAATATTTTAATTCGGCATTACGTCACTATTGTTTTGTTTTTCAATATGGCAATCAGTTCATTACGACCATTCAGTAGTAGTTGATGTTCTTAGACTAGTTAAGTAAAAGCTGATTTTTCCAACGTCACATAATTTTATTGGAGAAATGATTTTAAATTTTCGACTAAATCTTGTTAGATTTGTTGTTTATTAAATTGACAGTTAGCCTGTATTGCAAAAAATTGTCTGTTGTTTGAAAATTAGTGCTTTATCGAATATTGTGTGTGTTCCAGGACAACAAGAAGCGCGTAGTATTCAAGCGTCAGAAGTACCACTGCGTGTACGAGTACCCGCGCGAGGTGGCAGACATCGAGGCACACTCGCCCGCCGCCTACCTGCCGGACCTGTCTACTTACTCCGGTAACTTACCACTGCATTATAATGTGAAATCATATAAAATTAATTGGGAACTACTAAAGTTGGTGTACTTGAATTATGTTACTTGGACTCTGCAACGTTCTAAAACTTCGACTCTATTGCTATGCTTTACATTTTTGATGGCAGAACTGCGATATGATGGTATTGACGCCACTAAGAGGGAGATCTTCTTTCAAAAGTAGATGTAGGTATTTCGGCCGAAGATGATAATTATGTGATATTAAAGTTCATTTTTGTTTATATTTGTAGAATGGGACCCGACCAGTGCTGAGGAAGCTGAGCTGGGTTACGGTCAACTGTTCGGCGCTCCTAGTCCGCTGGACCTCTACCCACTTAGAGCTGGCATCGCTTTTGGAGCCGGTGTGTATTGCAACCTATTCTTTTAATTCGTAGGCTTTATGTGTTCCCATTGTCATGTTATCATTGCCCACAGATTACGACGAAGACTTCTTCATCTCGTCGTCAGCGCGGCCCTTCGAGAGCCTGGGCATCATGTCCACCACTAGTCAGTTCTTCCCCGGCAAGCACGTGAAGCCCTCTCTGCTCGAGCGAGACCTCTCCGATGACCTCACAGAGGAATTTCCGCCTCCTCCCTCCCCACTCCCTACCACTACACTCATGCATACCCGCACCCCCTCTCTGGACTTCACCACGCCAGACTCAGGAGTCGAAGATATCACGCCAGGCTCCACCACGGATGATGATTTCAAGAAGAAACTGCCAGAGACGGAGCTCACATGGAGACCCGTGGACAGCGCCAGCTCTAGCGAGTCAGTGAGTCCGAGCTCCCCGGGGGGCGAGGCACTCGGCGGACTCAGGCACACGCGGGACAAACTCAAGCTCGACCTACCGCCCAGTCCACACATACCGTCCCCTCGACACAACAGAGTCTTCAACTTCGTGCTGGACAAGCCCAAGCGACGCGAGGACCGCCCCGCAGACCTCGGCACCACACCGCTCGTCATGACGGACGACACGCCGATTGTCACCACCTCGCTGCCGCTACAGAAGGACTGCGAGGACCTGCCGGTACCCGAGCCCACCTTCTCCACGTTCGGTAAGAGCCCGCCCAAGGTTGAACCCGAACAGAAACTGATACTGACGGACGAGGTGGAGGAGAGCAACGAGGTGAAAGTGGAGAGCCCGAAGGTGGTGGAGGCAGTGAAGGGCGAGGGCACCGTGCTCGACAGCGGGGACGAGGACTCCGGCATCGAGAGCAGCTCCAAGGCCACGCTCGAGCGGAACAAGACCAACGTCTCGTAATTACAACTAATTAGTACTAGTATTGTATAAATAGGAACATAGATCTGAAGTAACTGCGACTTTGTCGTGGAACAAAGTTTGAAGTTACGTTACAAAGAGAAACACGCGTTAGTTTGGAATATGACATTGTTTAGTCTCCGTTAGAACTCTTACACCATGTATACTTTCTTTCAGTACTAAATATTTCAAACTAACGATTGAATTTCTCGTGGTTATGACAACCGCACTTCTCGTCTAGACTACAGAAATAGTCGACGAAATAATGCCATTATGAAATAAATAGTATTACAAACAGCAAAAAGTATTACGTGCTGGATATAAAGTTGATATACATATCGGAATTACGGGCATCGATTCATAGCCACACCATATCCGTCGAGCCGGGAAATGTACCATGTTCATATTATTGCCATCCGCTTTTTGATACTTTATACTCTTTCAATCTTGCCAATGATACAACAAAAATCTTTTCTAAAACATTTCGCTTGGTCGTTTAATCTAAGAAGAAAAAAAATCCATCAAAATTGACATCTACATACAAACTATTATGAATGTAAGTTTACCGACAAGGTTACATTTCCCCGTTCAACAGCACACAGTATTCAGTGGAGCAAGTACTGCTCGGTTCAATGCAAGGATCACACACACGAAGGTACAAATCGCCATGAATTATATCTATAGGTGTATCGCTTTCATTATAGCGTAAGATAAGGCTTTGATACTTTTACACAACACAGCCTAATTTTATGAGATCAGTCGCGTCCCTCGAGTTTTTGACACGTTTTATTAATTGATGTTATGTTGCGTGCGAGCCGATTCTGTTTGATGCACGTAACCACGTAACTAACGCCTGTAAACAATCTTACATTTACTGCTCTAAATATAGTTTGATGTGTTCGGATGTTACCGCGCGCGACACCGACGCATACATAACTCTCTATGAATAACATCCAACTAATTAGTTAACTGTCAATCATTTTATATTTATAATAAGTGTAGGAGACTGCCATACAGTCGGTGTACAATGGAGGCAGCCGATCGTACTCGTTAGAAATGTTCATACGTAACGTTTTTTACTCTTATTTCGTATGTCGTAGTGTTAGGATACGCTCGCGCTGCGCCCGCGGCACACGCCCACAGAAATTATATGTTTTATGTATAGTATTGAGTATTGTATGATTCCCACCAAAATTACGTTTTTATTATTTTGATACGTGAACAAAGTTGTGGCGAAGTGTGACGTCCCGCTGGGGGTGCGTGCGCGCGCGCAGCTCTCGATGTCTAAATTACTTGTTGTTTGTGACGACCTATTATATTATTGTATTACTTTACGCACAAGTGAGTAAGCATCTTCCATCTTTTAAACCTCAACAAATGTCTAAATTGAAGCGTTTCGGTCTACGATTGAGGTTAAAAAGCCAATTGTTAGTTAAGTAAAAGTTTATATTAGATAAGTGTAGTGTTAGATGTATCAAGTTGTGGCGATAGATCGACATTGCGACTGTGCCACTGTACGAGTATAACGTCGTCACGATAGTATGCAATACGTCCAAGTGTGAACCTGATGTGCAATTCTTCTCATTTCCATATCATCGCGTTTTAGTTGTTTAGTTACTGCTGTAAATATAATTTAATGTTATTATGTATTGAGAAAGTAATCTTTTTGAATATGAAAATTTATTGATTGTATTAATTGTACTACACGTTTATTGTTCTGAACATTATTTTTTACAGTTTTAGAATGTTTTCGTTAATGTACAGATGTAAATAAGTGATAGATGTTCATTTTGTTACGATGCGTAGGGAGGCGTCCCGAGTGGCGGGCTGTGAGCCGAACGAGACAACTTTACGTTACTACGGAACATGCTTCTGTTTCTTTGTACATATCATAAGTCCTGCAACCCCACATCAAAGAACAAACTTTAACACGAATAGGTCAAGAATGACATTATCTTACATTCATCTACTAAATAGGTTTCTTGACCTTTCAGGATCCAGAATCTCATTATATTGCTCCTTTACATTCGCCAAATTGTCTCAGTTCACCGAAATATAAAGGGGCGGTTGTCTACATCAACAGTTCTTTCATAACTCTTGCCTATACTGGGGATCAACTTCCATCTTAGAGTTGTAGATTCCAATTTTTCAATAACGTAGAGTCTGTTCGTAGTGAATCTTACGCAGCAGATAGTACCCAAGCTTATGATATAAAAAACTAAGGAATTTATTTGAATGAATTGTCCAGTTTAATTATGTATTTATTGAACGTAAGTTGTTATTGATTTGTATGAGTTGTCGGCAGTATTTAGTGAATGTGAACGCATTGGAAGTCTTTTCATATTGTGACTTTGTCGAGTCTTTTAAAAGTATTTCTATGAAAAAAATAATAATTAAATAAAACTTGTGACTCAATTATAAGACTTTTATTTGTACAGGAATGTTTACAATACTTACATAGTTCTATATAATCAGATCTGTTGTTGTCCATACAGACTAGTGAGGTCAACTCCTCCTCCATATGATGACGAGCCCGGTGACGTCGCTTGTCGCCAGCAAGCTCTCGTCATAACTGAAGCTGACTCCAATCACGGGGGACGCGTGACCTGAGAACAATAGGAAATAGCTAATCTGTCTCATCATAACTGCGATAATAATATCAAGTGCTGCAGCAAACACCGCAATCTTTTTTTAGGGAGATAACTCCCACCATTTACCTGTAGGATCTATCTACCTTGTTCTAATCTAGCTAGTAGTTAGGTTAGTCTTTTAGGAGTTCCAGACAGTGACTGCCTCAGAGTTTCATCCCGAAATAATGATGTTCCTCCAGCTTGAGTTGCACCGGTTTGGCTACAAACTCGTTTAGTGGAAAGCGGTGATTTAAATTAAAGATAATAGAGCTCAACTATATCTCGTAATCCCTTGAGGCCTTACCTTGCAGTTTATTAACGACAGGATGCTCCGCATGTCCCTCGATGTCGAGGAAGTAGACGCAGGAGTCCTCGCTGCCGCTGACGACGCACACGCCGCGCCGGAACGACATTATAGGACAGAACGTAGACTTCACGCTGTGCTGTGTGTGGAGCACTTCGAAACGTTTCTTTAACTGCAGGTTGCCTTCGCGGTCTATTATCCTACGGGTAAATTTAATATAAGATCATCAACATCTTCAGAGAAATTGCATAAGAAATATTTTCTAAATCGGACAGAACACAACTATAGTATAAAAAGTTCCGTTATCAAACATTTTATGTTTATTATTCCTTTTTAAGAATTAGGTACTATGTATGCAAAATATCTTCTTTTTAAAGTATCATGTATCAGTATTTTAATTGTGTCGACCACACGATGAAGAATTGCACGATACAGATTGATGCAATACCTAATCCCATATTTTTCTAGTATCTAGTGAATTAGGTACCTAAAGAGATAAAGCGAGTTATCGGCAGCGCTGACAAGCAGCGCGGGATGGCGTGCAAGCCAGGGGCTCCAGCTGAGGCAGGTGACGGCGCCGCCCACTATGCAGCGCCGCAGCTTGCTCAGCCCGCCGCCCGCGCTGTCCATGCGGTAGCTCACTATCACACCCTGACAATCATACCATGAGAAAAATTATAATCAAAAGTTAACCCATTGGGTTTTCCTCTATTTTAGCCATAGGCAGGTAAATAAATACATTTGATCCAATATGACGTGTACTTTTACGAGTATGTGTTTAAATGTAATGGAAGCTAATGAAGTACGTAAGGATCGTACTATGGGGACAGTCTGTAGCGTGCCCATGGAGATAAAACATTTTCTACAATCAGCATTTTTGTTTGAAAGCTTCTCTAGGATTTTCATAGTCAAAGAACGCTACGTTTTATCGTTACAAAAAGTAATGACTAGCTTGTTGTCGTTACAACTAGCAAAATTCAAACACGAATAATCAATAAATGTAGGTATACAGTTGCACATTTGCAACCTAAAATACCAATCATCATTGTTGTTAAATTTATGTTTTCTCCCAAAACAAATGGTCGAAGCATATTATACTTATAATGTATTTGTTTACGTAGGTAGTTTGGGTTTACTTGTAAACTAGGTATTAGTTGACGAATAATATTAACATAATATTTATACAAGTTCCAAAAACTGATGCATGTTAGCGGTAAACACGACATTCTGATGATATTTTGAACATAACAAAATTCTGTAAACTGCTATTCTGAGTAAAACATGTAATGTTTGTTACGAGTTCTTCTATAGAATAATAAATATGCTAAAAATAATGTTTATAAGAAAATGTACTTTGTCGTTGGCGGCCCAGAACATTCTACCGCTAGACTCGCAAGCTATGGAGAGCACTCGCCCGCCTAGGATACTGCTGCCACCTGCACAAATAATACGTACAATGTTATTAAGTTAATGCACGTTTGACTGCACGGTTGGCGCGGTGGCTGGGCAACTGGCTGCCGCGCAACGTGTGGCGGTTTCGATTTCTGCACGTAACAACTCTGTGTGATGCACAGGTTGTTCCGGGTCTGGGTGTCATGTATATGTGAACTTGTATGTTTGGAAACCACCCACGAAACAGGAGAAAATCCTAGTGTAGGGTAAATAAAAAAAAATTGGGAACTGCATCTGCCAATTATACATATTCATAGCTAATTTCATGCAGGTAGTAACTTATGTAGATATTTCATGTAGTTTACAACCCGCGACTTCTTGGTAACCCGACAAAATCACTGTGTGAACATGATTATAGCTAGTTTAATACCTATAACTAAATCAGTAACGCAATATTATTTACTAATTATAACAATTCCGTGAAATTTCCCCATTTATTATTACCATGACATCATACGATTTACTCATTTAGTAACCAGACACGCTATCTATTTTGTTTTAATTTAGGCATAATTTTAAAATACAAGTATTCTATATAGGTACTTCAAAAACAATTAACATATATACTGCTGCTGGGTATTTCGTATGGGAAAATTAGCAACTATTTAATATTTTTTGGTATTGTTCATTCATTTTGAAACACTACAAGTGTATGTATGTAGGTAAACTTAACTCGAAAATGGGTAGCAGGTAAATTAATGACCAAGAGATTATGAAATTGTGCACCGCGCTAACAACGTACCAGGGTCCACAATATAATTAGTAGAATGTCAACTCACTTTGCAAAAGAATAAGGTTGAAAATCTATTAAAAAATTACCTAGCGCACAATTTCTCTTAAAATTACCCAGCCTTCAGCAATACAAGTGTGATGGAGTAATAAATATCAACACACTACGGTACACATTAAAGTATCCTTACTATAATATTATTATAAATCGGAAAGTGAGTTTGTTTGTTTGTTCCACTTTCACGCCGTAATTACTAAACCGATTGCTTTGAATTTTTGCAGACGTGAAGTTAGAAGTCTGGATTAAATAATAGGGTACTTTTTATCCCGGAAAAATTTGATATTCTCGAGAGAAAACAAAATTATTGGTATAGATGGCGCTGTGTGTATTGGTATATGTCACATAGGCTACTTTTTATCCTTTTGTGACGCGAGCGAAGTCGCGGGTAAAAGCTAGTACATAGTAAATAACAACTCACCTCTGGGATATATTCCAGTTGATATATTCAGTACCTCCACCATTCCTCTTGCATTGCCAGCCTACAGCTAACGTCAAGGAAATTATGTCCAATGTGAAATACGTAGTTGATGTTATGAGTTTCCCCAACCCTTACAAGACTAATCCCCAAAAGGCCGGTAACGCACTTGTAACGCCCCTGGTGTTGCAGGTACTATCAGGACATTTGTCTGCTTGTTTGCTGTACTGTTCCTTTAAAGCCAATTTTTCAAAATATCAGTTGTGTAAAAGGATACAATAACCATGTTATTGTTAGCTGGTTGGAACACACAGCATAGCAGTGGGGCTCCCAGCTGGTCGGGTACGGCACGAAGTCGCCTGCGAGCTGATACCTCCCATAAGCTGAGAGCTCCGTCCAATGCGCATGTCACCAGCAACTCGTTGGACGCTGACCAGTCGCAGCCTTTACAAATAGATTTTTTAATAGTAATGCCTGCTGAACATTGTTAGTTATTTTCTGTCTTTTTAATGTATTTTTTTTCTTTTTAAGTCCAGATGGTATAATTTTATTCATAAATAAATAAAAGATTGTCACAAATAGTTTTTGAAACGTAATTTTTTTTTTTTTTAATATTTTCATATTATTGTGCGAAGTGTTTGTTCAGAATGTAAATTAAATTTGTAGTGGACGTCATAATTTATCATTATTTATTAACTGCGTCATGTCATCATACTTTTATCCTGATAAATAAGGTAACTGAAATGAATAAAAATAATGTACTTATAATTAATTCTATACTTAATCAAAAAAATTGTCTGGTGTATAGAATCTATTATATTTTCGCGCGAAAACAAACTGTTGTTGTCGAGACAAAACATTTATCTATGGATTCCCACAGACTATTTAGTAAGTACATATTTAAAATAAAAAAGTACGTTGATAACAAACTGCCGGACACATTTCTAGCTAGTCATCGGAAAGTATTATCAATTTCCTAGAAGTACAGGATGGCTCAGAAATGATTCATGCTGCAATAGATATTTATAAAAAATATTGTGTAATACAGGGAATGTTGCTATCTTCCATTTGTTATTTAATGATAAGTGTATTAGAAAAAAAAAACTATCTTCTAACATCTTGTGAAGGTAGACGTTGTGTAAATAGTTTAGTTTCTTTCTTTATAATCGTTTTTAACTCACATCAATGATTTTGATTATATTGCTCATGCATTTCCATTATAAATGATATTACTTTATTTAGGGGGTGTCATAAAATCGCAAAATCTCCGAGACTCCTATCATGGTGGTAAAGATATCTCTTAGATAGAAAGATAGGAGTATGATATGACTTACCAGTTACAGGTTTAGTGTGTCCATCCAGTATGAAGGACACTCGAGGCGGCGTAGCAGTGACGTCACAGATGGACACAGTCCCATCGTCCGACCCGCAGCACAACTTGGAGCGGTCGTTATTCGCAAACTTTACTACGCTTACTTGTTCTGTGTGCTGAGGAATTCGATTCGTATTTATTAAAATTATAAACTAAAAATATTAATTAGTACTTAATTTTTAATTATTTTTATTAGATTAATTATTATGGAAATCGAAAATTTTATCTACTGTAGATTTTATTTGACATTGACTGCTTCGTTGGCCGAGTGTAGCAAGTGCAACTGCAGCGCATTAGGTCTAGGGTTCGATTGCCGGGTAGGACAAAATATTACTGAGTTTTTTCAAAAAATCTTAGTAGTAGCTCGGAGCCTGGAAATGAGCCCGGTATATGGCAATAGGCTCACCCACTATTACATGGGACTCATAACATAAAATAGTGGAAAGTGGGTGTTACATTGTACAGTGGCAGCATAATGCTAATGGTAATGTGCACCTGTGCCTACCCCCTTCAGGGATGAAAGGCGTGAAATGATGTAGATTGTAACTTACAGATGTTTCAGAGGTTTTGAGAGGTTGAGGTGAGGAAGTTCAATAAAATTAACAAAAAGTAAAATACATGAATGAGGCTACGGTGGCAGCAGCAGCAGCCCCTAGTTTGACAGTTGTACTTGCAACCATTCAACAAATGAGGTACTTAGTATTAAATAATATGTTACCTGATCAAATATATGATGTACTCCGGAGAATGCATAGTTCTCTGATATTGTCATGTCATTCTTCCGCTTTGAATTGGAGTTGGACGGACTCTCTTCTACCAAAATACTTGCCTAGAAAATTTAGTCAACGTGTTCCTTTATTAAATAACAACATTTTTATTTTCTTTCTTGATTTCTTCTTTGGCAAAGAAACAATACTTAACAAGCAATTAATCTCCTTTAACCGTTTGAATGCCTGTATATGAGACACAATAGAAAATACATTGTGTCTCGTGTGGATCCACGTTTAGACACACGACGGGTTAAAGGTCAGAGAAACAGAATTATGTATGTACTTTATATACTTTGCTTTCCAAAGTGAAAGTAAGAAAGAAAAAAGCATTTATTTGACAAGTAGGCACACAAATACAAACATTATAAAAAAAAAAACATAATTTTGACATAATCACTTTTAAAAAGTTCAAATAAATATAGAAAACTTGTTATTATGTAATTATTTTACAGTTTGTAAAATCAGTGTGAATAAAGTTATTTGTAGATACCCAATTGTTGTTACCTTGCTGCTAGACCGTGGGCGAGAAGATGATGAGCTGATGGAGATGTTATCCTGTACTCCATACCGACGCTGCAGCAGCTGACTCCTTACATTTATGTACTTCTTTATAGTTTCTATATCCTACAACGTAATAAGTAATTTTCTGTACTTTCAATTAAATAACTTTCGAGTAAGGTAGTAATCTTTAACCTACGCTCCCGGCATACCATGGCTTAATTTAAAAAACTAAGTTTACCTTAAATTTTGCGTTTTCTCTCAACAGTTGGCTTCGTCGACGAATGTACAGGGTTTCTATAATTTTAAAAAACAAGACTTGTTATACTTTGGCTAATTTTCTAAACACTGATAATTGGTGGTATATTATGTGTAATTTCATATTATGATTGCGTGTTACGAACTAGGGTTTCGAGCCTCGAGACTATTACTTCTTGCATGCTTAGTCACTGACTTCAGGGACTGTCTACGATCGTAAAACCATATCCCTCATGATTGATTGTGTGGCCAAACTCTAATATCTGTACCGTGTCTTTAAATAATACAAATGAATATTTGACTCTAATGTTACAACAAGAACTCATACATACTGAAATTAGGATTATTTGGAGCTCTGTACGCATTGAACCGTGCATCCAGCGCAAATATCTGTTGTTGGAACGCGGCAGCCATTGTTAAATCAAGTGTATGCACACATCATTCACTACACACCTACTAAATCTCAAATTAATCACTAGTTTACAATATTTATATTATTTTTCGTTAATAATTCACCAGAAACAACATTCTTGCGAATATTTTTGGCATTTGTCAACACAACACCACTTGACATTAGTTTGACAGCTAACAGCTGTGGGATGTGCATTTACAGAGCCAGTTACAGTAATTAATTAACGTGTAATGTCCGATTAAAGTTATATTGGGAATTATAGTTAATATTCTATATTAAAAATAATACCCTTCCTTAAGTCAGGTAAAAATATGCTGAGAAAAGATAAAAAAAATGTATTATGTAGTAATAGTGTTGTTCTTGATTAGATTCTATAATCTGCATGTGTTACAACTATTTTCATCGTTTATCTGTTTTGTATGTATTTATTCTTGATTCACTATAGTGAATCGTAATTCAAGGACCCACACACTAGAAATAATAAAGAAAAAAGTATTCTCATCTAATCTTGACCTTAGTCAATTACATCGGGTCGTTAAAACAACCGGACCCAAAAGGCAATTTGTCACACCCACAGAGGCACCGGCACGCGAGCCCGTCGCGTCCTCCACGCGCGGCCGCGGCCGGCTGAGGCCAGCGGTTTCCTAGAATCCTTATTTCCGATCCGAAATACTCGGTGCGGTGATACCAGGAAATCTTGACGGTGTTATTCTGGGGCAATGCCGTGTAAAACCCGAAACACGTAGCTTTCTAGCGAGGTGGCTCTGCCGCCGTTATAAATAATCAGAATGCGTAAAAAGGAGTCGGTGACCCTCAATTATACACTCATCATTTCTCGTACTAAGAAACACTTTTTCTGCTATTACAATTATATTTTTCAGATGTACAGCGTTCAGGGGGACTTAAATAAAACTGCTGAGTAGTTGTTGATATTTAAAATTTCATTATACATATAATTAATGAATGCATATACCATACATCGTAACATGTAAAATCCATCATACAACAAACGTACGTATAAATGACAACGTGATACAATCCAGTGAACAGTTACAGTATACCGACTTTATATTTACACATTACACCTATGAGACGGATTAGTGCTTTACACGGATTCGATTCAGGATAAACAACATACTTCTATAGTAACAAACATGTCTACTGTAAATATTCGCTGCAAATAAATTAATGACTTAAACATCGTTATCAATAAAACAAATTACACTAATCCATCTTAAAAATATGTAGTTGACTATTGATTGTTGTACCTAAATAGTTTAAAAAAATATTTGCATTGACTTAAAAAAATGCATGGAGTGTAAAAAAGTCACTATAAACTATAACACGTGAACATTTAAATCAGTCAGTCAAAACTTAAACAAAATTATGAAGGCAAGTATTACTAAGGACGACACTGACCATTGACACGTAATATTCATAAAAACACCTGCACTAAATAACACAACACATCCGACAACTTTTTGCAGTTACATCAACCAATTCCGAGATTTATGTGATAGACTTAAGAGTTAAAAAAAGAAAAACATTACTTTGCCAAACCAACTATTAAGTTGAAAGCAATAGAGATCAAAATTGGTTGACGTACCTACTTGAACAGTTTGCAAAATGTGTTATGCTTTTACTTAAGCGCCTCTCGTAATTTCTTTACAGTACAATACTACGTCTCACTGGACAGCGCCGTCAAATTAATCGTACATCATAAAATATTACACTAACAGTTTTTATACAATTAAAAACATCTACATTAAAATTCTATATACCTATATACATAATTTCGTTAAATTCATTATAATATCAACATAGTTTTTAATATATTTCGCCGATAAGCTACACAAGTTAGTCGGAATCCATTCAAACTTAATAACTATTCAGATTTCTTTAAACGCTTGCTTACAAGTTAGCGGGCCGTATGCACTTATCCTTACCAAATCAACCTTTTTACATTTGATTTTTAAAATGATTAATTTCAAAATATTATTCATCTGTGATTTCAGTCTTATTCTAGAGTCGGGTCAATGTCTATGTCGACAGTTTGTAATTATTGTTATGTTTTTCAATTAGTATAATTCATTAGAAGTGTAGTTTAGAGGAATTGCAATTTAATTACGTGGTGCATTAAGTAAATGACGTCATTTATCTAAATGTATGTTTGTGTTTGTAGTTCATCACTGTGAATGGCGGCATTAGAGGTGAAACATACGACATTAGACATCGACCGCGGGTGTACTGATTCAATTAACACACGTCACACAGACGCGTCTGTAGTCGTGCCCTATTTACTATTACCACCTAATTATAAAAATTAGGTAATAAAATGTCGGGATATTTTACAAAACCTGTTGTTACAGTGCAGAAGCCCTTAGCTTGCATGCTTTGCGATGTTACACCTACGTATAATATTGGCGGATAGAACTTAATTTTTAATATAATAAAATAAGCTAAAACAATGGCATTACGTAAAGCACCCACACACTGACAGCTGCGTTATATAATTTTTATATAATCTCTGACGTAACTGTGCAATTCGGCCTAAATTATCAAACTTTCCGATCGGAAGAGGATCGATACGAACTGAATTTTATTATAAACTGGACTCGGTTCTTTACAATATAAACTAGTTTACATTTTAGCCAGCGGGAGCGCTGTGGTTACATTCTATGCACACTACAAACTGAAACAACAAGCGTTGTGTGCACTTTGAAAAGCTCGTAAAGTTTCATTTCGTATCGACTCTACTTCAAAGTTGGAAAAGCAATATCCGGGTTTACACTTACATACCTAATTTAAAACTATAGGAAATCGCACAGAACGATCGCTTGAGGTCTGACGTGTAACAGGCAAGACCCGGCTTTTAAGCTCTTACGGAATATTACGACAACGTAGACTCGACGATATACAGACAGACGAAACTCAAGCAGAGGACAAACACAAAGTCCATCTTTCCTAACAAATCCATCGACAATTATAATTAATTACAAGACAAGAAAAACTGCTGCTATCCCTATCGAAAGAAACTAATTCTTATCCAGCATTCGCATCCCCCAAACACGAAACTGCAGAAGTTTTACAAACTATTTAATTTGATTTTTTAAAGCACCAAGGATCAACGTCGATGTTTTTATTGTGATTTTACTACCATTTCGTACAACAGTAACACTTAAACAAATATTACATTAATTATTTTCACATAAAAAGAGCGCACGCGGCACTTTTATTTCAACGGAACTCGTAACCCATCTACAACACTACGACATTATTGTACATCGTATTGCTTCAACAATAAGATTCAAAATCTAACGTAGATAACGTATCTATGTACTATTCGAAGCACGCCTTCCACTTAAAATAACACAGGGATTATTCCATAAAGGTATTAAGGTCGCTAATACCCATTACTCGTTTAAGGACAATCATCTTTTAAGTGAACATGAATATTTTAGTTTTGAATACCGCCACGTGGTCCCGGAAAATAACAATTTTAATTTGTTTATAACGTGTACATACCGATAAATATTAATTCATTAATTGATTGATTATATGGGAAACTTAACAATTGTAACTATTCGTTTAAAACATTTGCATAAAATAGAAAATGTCGTACAAACATTCCACTTACACTATCAAAACATGCGTCAATACTTATAGATAGAATAAACTTGATTTTTTATTACGTTATTACTTCAACATTAACAGGTAAATATTGATTGTATGACACGAAGCGGGTAGTTGGGATCATCGCTAATCCGTGGTCGCAACGAATTGGAGTTAACGGCTGTTTCATATGAATAACTGTTTGTGGCACGCGTCCCCGGCGCATACTGATGACCAAAACAAAATGAAGCGTCACATCACGCCGCCATTTTACCTAATTCCCAAATAATAAACCCACGTCACGTGCAGAGATGCAGCACAGGTGTGTAAAGCACGCGAATAGGCCTACTGCCTAAATTACCTTACGTGATGTGCTTCTAATCAAAGGTATTTACGTTCTTATTTTTCTTGTATACGTATTAAGGCTTACCAGCTTTTCTCCATGATTTTCTTAAGAAATGTTACAATAAACATTTGTATAGCAAATAATATTTATTCTTAGAAACGAACGGTCAATTAATACCATATAACGTTCACGAAAATACTACAAGTATATTAGCTTTTTTGTGTGGGTTTTTTAATCATTCGATGTCAATCGTGTCCTACCTACCTACGTATGTATTTATTTACGTAAAGACGTTTCCCAAATTACAAAGTGACTTCCACGTATACAAAGTGCTAAACATCAATTATTTTCATTTGATTTACCTCAACATTAAATATAGGTCTAACAATAAACTTGAAACGGTGTGTAAAATGTGAACTACGTATCAATTTCATAAATGTGAAGAAATGCAATGTATTGTTACGTACTGCACCGGACAGTACAACGGCGCGCGCGCGGACATTGGCAATGGATAATATGGATATGCGTAATATCGCTCATTGCCAATAAACACGGCGCCGCGTATGAAATATCGCTGACTACGTCAACACTACCATTCCCCGACAGTCCCCCGCTACAATAACCAGTCTTGCTTGACCTTACAATAACTTCTCGCTATGCACTCACTACACACTTTAGTTTGGACAGCACTTCATTACTCCATTCCTAATGTCGTAAATATTTAGCACCTGTCGCGGTAGGCACAATCATCACAAGCACCTCCTAACAACCTAGATTCCATCCTCCGCGATAATTTTAGTCCACATTTAGCAGTACTTGGAATGACGCTCGCAGCCATGAATAATGTATTACTTCATACAATATCACCTCAGTTCAGATCTAGGGCGCATGTTTAACTTTTGTGTTAAGCCGTAGCTAACGTATCAATTAGAAATGGTCCAACCCGAGCACATGAACAAGTAGAGCGCTGTCATGCCGCAGCTTTTTCTCAATTCTGGAAATGCTAATCAGCCGAACCAGTTGATAGTTTGCGGGGAACACTGTTAATGTAGCCGAGCACCTTCCTAGAAACGAAAGCGAGATAGTCACTAGTGAGAAATACGATTATCGTAATAACCTCCCGGAACGAGAGCCCTTTCCAATCTCTGTTTGTAAATAGAACTTGACTATTAAAAATTTCACGGAATACTGCCGACCACGGCCACAATTGGATTGTTCCTGTCAGGCTTCTTACTTATCCAACAACAATACATATTAATAATTGAAATAGACCAAATGTTACAAATACATAGATTATAAAATATTTACATTATGCTACAAAATACTTTTCATAAATAGTATTTACTTTGAAAATGTGTAAATATTAGATTAGTGCCAGCTTTCGATTGGAATAGAATGTACATAGTATACTAGGAATTCAAGAATGGAACATCAACGTGTGACGTAGAAGTCCGTGACGTTAGTGTTGTACCGCTAGTGCTATTAGTGACGTAATTAACTTATAGTTACATAATGAATCGATAATTAAGAATGACTCATTTAGCTAGACTATTTTTATATCCTTTTAGTTCACCGTATTTTACTGACGTCACTAAGAAAGTTAGAACATTATATCATCAATCAACTCAGCGTTTCGCTTTCAGTTCACGATTGGACATAATTACGTACCTATATAATACACTGTACCCTTAGCTATGTAAACATGACATTAAACAACGGAGCTAACACATCGACACTGAATGTTAATAGTGTACCATAATAACTATACAACATCAACAATTACCCTAGAACAAGGAAAATGTTCCCAAAAACTTGAATATTATTCAAACAACGGTAACCAACACGGAGATATTATACGTGGACGTACCGGGAATTGAGGAAAATCTTAGGAAACAACTTCTAACACTTAAAGCAAACAACTCGTGCACTAATGTAAACAATCGGATAGTTTTCATTGCATAACCCGAACAAAAACGTTTTGATTAGACTAAAATTAGAGCATTCTAAGTATTCGGATGCGGTCAATGTAAAGGTTAGCTCTAATCGATTCGGAATTGTATGTCCCACTGCTTCCGAGAAGGTATGAAGATTAGAGTAACATAAAAACCTAATACGGAATGGACATAAATATACCTATTATACGACCAACAATCGATAACGAGTTTTCGGAGAACAAATTAATGTGTTTTTACTTAGAACATACAGATGGCAGTACCAAGAAAATTATCGTAAGAGATCCTCTAATTGGGGACCGGGGAAGAAACACCCGCATTTGGAAACAAGCGGTTATGACGAATTTTTAACAAACTGTTAACATCCAATATATAAATGTACAAATTTACATTTCGCTTTACTTTTTACTATACTAATATTATTATAATCTTTCATAATTTAAAACTTAATACGTATTTATTTTCTTGTGTATAAAACTCGAGCTTGGCCCGTAGAGAATATGGTTTATTTTTGTCCGTCAATTAAAATGGTGCAGTTGCACTTACAGCTGTACATTTCGGTAGCGACTTTAAAGAGTGATATTCCCTTTGATATTACGTTCATTATTACTGAAGTATGAATAAATTGTGAGCAAAGGATGGAGCTATTCAATTATGCTCTTGGCTCTGAGCCTTTGTACTCTTGTAAGTCGGTACCAGGTTTTCATAACAGGCAGCAGGCTGCTTCAATTACATTATGTTGCTACATTTGACAATGGAACATTACTTATTTAAATCTGCGAAGATCTTGGAGCAGATGAGTGAGAGAGAATCGTATTTAAATTCCCTGTGTTTGCATAGTCATATTTCAGTATGTAACTAAGCTAAAGTGTATATTAGTTCGAAGTTTTACTGTATCCGGTCATTCCCAGTCGTCGTCGCTGGATGATCGTGCAGGCGAGGACTGCTCAGGTTCAGGTATGTAGCTAGCCAGTGTGTGCAGGACCGAGCCTCCTGTCCTTTCAGCCCCGGAGATGCCTCGGCGTCGCATCGACAGCTTCGCGTGGAGATCCGCCATCAGATCACCGCCGCTAGGTATTGATCCGCCCTAGGAAGAAAAAAAGGCAGTTTAAAAACTAATTCTAGAAGTATAGTTACGTATAAATGTAAGTTTGAATTGGTGTTTGTATTGGTTCAATGCAGTGTTACACAAGCGTTCGATAAGACTCCACAGCTCCAAGTACATGTTAAATAGCTAAGATACCAGAATATTTATTTTAATATTGCAATCACATTTTGCCTGTAAATCAATTTGCAGATTGAAGTACTCCAAGTTATTTCCGCGCCGTAGGTACCGCCCGACTCAATTTTCGTAGAAGATTCAACCAGCCTTAAATATTGAAGCTGCTAAAAGCTTTTACAGATATATTGGGAGTCGACATGTACATAGATACTAAAATATATGCCTAGCGATAAATATTTGACCATCATTAATTGATACCTTGACATATTTACGGGCGGGCCGCTTCGGGGAATCGTAACCGAATTGTATAATTAATTTGCGACGTCTAAAGGCGTGTAGCATGTTTTACAATTGAAAACTGGGCCAAGTGCTCCTAATAGTAGAAGCACAATAATTAACAGTACGTCACCTGCCTTCTGGGAATAGAATACGTAATGAATAATAACAATATGCGCTTAAAATTAAAAAACTTACGAGATGATCATAAAATTCTTCAAATTGAATAAAATTAGATAAATATTAATGTATGATGGGAAAATGTCTTAGTTGTTTCATTCAAATGTTTGAAATAAATGCTGGTTGTTAATTAAGAGTGTTGGTACACATGTCGGCAGTTCATCGAATGCCAGTGTGGCATTGCCAGGGCGTCAGTGGGCGATGGCCGCTGGTGCCAATAACCTCAGCGGAGTCGACTGCCAAACAATAAGATGATTTATGTAACCCGATCAATTATAATACGTTACACGCATTCTAGTGAATGTCCATTTTGAATAGAAATGTTGCTTTTTTGTACTTAATCAATAACCACAAGTTATTGCCACTAGAAGCTGTTTGTTGGCAATTTTTTGCAACAATGTACAGTTACCCTCGCTTATTCTTACAGGATTAGCCATCAAAGCTCGTTAACAAAGCAAAAAATTCCGTAGCTTTTTGTACAAATATTACAGTGAAAGGAAATCCGTCTATTTAATGGATTTACATGTCGTTAACCCTTTTGGAGATGTTAAAGATAGCTACAACATTTCGAATGGGAATAAAACTAAAGGTAATAATGTATGAGTAGGTGTTCACCGTAAAACGGCCAGTAAATTACTTTTCGTAATAGCGTACCTATTAACTTTACGCAGAAAACAGAAAAGCTAATGGAGAGTATTAAAAGACCAAAAGACCGTTAAATCAATACCAAACAAAAAGTTTTGGACAAAGAGGATGATAGAGGACACAAAATGTGAAGCAGAAATATGCGATAACAATTAGGATTTGAAATAAAACCATTTACTGAGATAGACTTTCAAATACAAAATACGATCTGGGAAACAAAGAATTGGATTTTTACTCAGACCAATCCAATTCTTGAAAGGAGTATTCGTAGCGTAAAGTAGCAGATAGGTATAGTTGGTTTCCAAGTTTAGAATTAATACTTAGTAGCTAGCTGTAGTAATCAAGGTGTGGAGCCAAGCCAATAGAAATCCGTCATAAAACTAAGAAACATAAACGAGTGAAAGTAGAAATCGTTTCTAATATCGGTTTTCCTGTTACAATCGATTTTTTGCACACGTTGTGCGATTGTCCTGCAGCGTAATTACTAAATACACATTGGTAACCTTCTTTAGCTGGTCGGCTCAACGGCGTTCATTCGATGTATGTTTTAAACATCCGCCTTATTGACGATCAACGTGTATCGTATTGTTCTACTGTTTGAACCGAAGCTTTTGTTAGTACGTCACGCATTCCGTCACTAAGAAGGGACGTGACTAAACGTAACAAATTAAAAATATGGGAGTATTTCTTTGCCTTATTCATCCTGTGACAATTGTACCTTGTTATGCCTTCATGTTACTATTGCATAAATTATTACTGTGTAGGTACATGGAATTTGGAATATTCCTATGACAACGAAGTCTAAATAGCTAATCTCGATAAAATGACACGACCTCAGTTGAACGGTGTCAAAACATTTCACAGAATTACGACTAGGTACCTAATGTAATTTGTAATTCTAAAAATGTTTCGAATTCACAGTCACATCAACATAATTATATTATTTAAATAATAAAAAATATATGTACTTTAACCTCTGGAGACAAAAAGAACAAAATATAATATTTTTTGTCCCTGACCTATTAAACCTTTGTTTGCGAGTCACGTACCCCGCGTAGTCAGTTTTACGTATTAGAAAAATGGAATAATAATAACAGTGATGTACCTCGAAGCCTTCAATTAGCATTAGTCATAATCATAATCATAGCTATTCGCCGAAAGCCAGGCTTAAGGACTCGACTGAGTGACGTGCACACGCAAATATTATTGTCCGATACGTAGATAGATACACATAATCTACTACACTACAACGTTATCGAAATGGTGACGATCGTATTTATTTATCGTAGTTAAAAATACGGATAACGCTATCAGTATTTTTTTATTAAAACGCATTTAAACTACATAATTAATTAATTCGTTTTACTAATCACGAAATATTTTCTTAGAAAACGGGTATGTTTTTATTTGAAATGCTCATATCCTAATCCTTCTTCATTTATTGATAAAACACTGCGCAGGTACTTATGATTTCCTATAAGTAGGAACAGTCGGGTACCTTATTCAGGATTATCTTATTTAAACAGTGACGATAAACCTAAAATAACATTACGCCTTAAGCTGAAACAAGTTTTTGCGTTTTTGTTTTTCAAGTAAAAAGCGAAGTAGTAGATATAACTACAGAAATTTTAAACCGATTCGGGAATCTTTTTATACAACAAAAATATTACAATTATTTCATGTAGCTAGTTAGAAGATGATAATGGACCTTGATTCCTAACCGGTTGACTTCCGACAAGAATTCTCGCTAGCGCCGCAAGCGCACGGCCGACTGATAAACATTTAATTATAAAATCGTCAATGATAACTTGGAAGTCAGCGCCAACGCAATTATTGCTACGAAGAATCGCGTATCTATTATACAAACATATCACACAGACAAACAAAGGTCATTGGCACACAGTTATCTAGAATTTTGAATACGACAAAATGATAAAATTTGATCAAAATATTAATTGAAATTGTCTCAAGTAGGTACTAAAAAAACAGTGGGTGATGTTTTTGTTAGCCATTCATAAAACAAATTCAAGAAATAATAATTATACAATAGGTACACAATTTATAGAGAAATGTATTAATTAAATTAATCAGATTTTTGAACTTTTAAGAATTCTGAATAATAAGGTTCTGTCAGAATTTTATTAACGAGCCGAGTCGAGTCTTCGGCGAAATAAAATGAATACAAATGAATTATGTAAACCAAACAAGGTTGGCTTACGTAAAATTCCGAAACTATTAACATAGCTAACATATATTACCGGAAAATATTTTTGACATCCTCCCAGGAATCTAGGACGCAGAATTGAATATAGTTCCACAGACAACGGAGGAAATATTGCAGCAGTGTATGTCACTGTACCTGAATTAATGATATCAAGGAGCCTGGCAGCCTACACTCACAATAAGTGCTGCACCATACTACCTATCAGCTACACCACGAAGTATAGTTAGATCCGAAGTGTGGAAGTGGTCCATCCGCACCATTACGCCAGCCGGAGCCTCGGACGCACTGACAGATATATTATGACCTTATCTCACTCATTACCTTAACGGAGTACACTTCGTGGAAACCATCTCCTTTCTCGTAGCATTGTCAACCTTGCTGGGATATTTTACGAGGAAAAAATTCATGAGTCGGAATGTACTGAATACATTTTTGTAGTTGGCAACACGGGCACAGTTACAAATGGTTGTCTTCATTATATCCTGATCGATATGACACGTGTTCATGTAGCTATTCGCGCTTTGATCTTCTGGAATGTTTGCAAATTAGACATAGCAACGGTATTCAAGTAATAGACTCGCTGCTCCGCCAAGCACAAAACTAGACTTTGTTCAGCATTCAGACTTTGACAACTTCAAACGAACACGCGAACGTCTGGAATTCAATTATGTTCTCAGTTATGTTTGGCACTAATTGCTTCGCAGAGCTTTGATCAAGTGGGTGTAAAGTATAAAATATTGTTATATAGTACACCAATCTAGGTATCTTGACTTCTACATTTATGTCTGAATAATTTTCCGCTGTCAAGTTGCTAACTATTATTTTTAATGGATTGTCTACATAGGTTTTCACCGGTACATAGTAGGCACTCATGTTGGATTTTCCTGTATGAAATCACAAAATATACTTATGGTACACGTTTTATCACATACCTACTAGAAAATAACTAGGAACAACGTAGTAGGTACGCTAAATTCGAAACTGACAAACGTGGCAGGATTTGTACCTATTTACAAAACCGCTCCGAGTATTGTACGCATTATTGAACATCATTATGTGGGCTACTAAAAGTAAATTCCGAAAACTAGAATTCTAGTTTAATAGGACTATTTGTATTGAATACCGCAGGGGGCAGCCCGGACCAATCAGGTATTGTGCGATACAATGAACACGTCCCGCAAGCGACTGAATTCAAGGAGTGTCATTATTGTAGCAACCATTGATGAATACAGCGTGTTAGTAAGGTGCCGTCACCTCTAGGAAACTCAAGTTGCAGTTGCAGGCCTGTATAAAGTGCACGACTGCGTAAATCTGACAGAAGCCTCAGTCTATTGGCGTTGAGAAATCAAATCGCCTATCGTAACAGAGCACTTCGCATCATGATTTTGCGATGCTTTTAGGTACGGATATTCTATTTTATGGACACTAGAGTCAAAACACATTTTTTATGATTGATGTTGTATCTCTTTTTTTGTACAATAATTCTTAGTAAGTAGAATAAATTATCGTTGCACCCACACAGAAGTCTGTCCTGACACCT